CCCTGCCCCAGTCACATACATTTCCCTCACAGAGTGCCCGCCACCTCTGTCCCAGCCGATATTTTTTACTCTAATCTATCCTTGACTTGACAAGCCTGCTCTACTCTGGCGTTGACCAGATGACAAGGACATGTGGTTACTTGAGGGAGGCATTGCGCTGTCAAGAGGGAAATGCTCGCAGCTAAAGGGATTTGAAAAACAACACCTACATCCTTGGCTTGACAATTTCTTTCTGAAAAATATGGTATTATACATGCTGTCTTCTAATTAAGTGCAACTGCAGTATTGAAATTTATTTTAATGTCTCGAAAACATTGCAGGCACCATCAGACTTGGTTTGGCTTAGGAGTCAAAGACTCCAATATTACTTAGGCTAGGGCGAAGTGACAGCTGTTAGGGTTTAAAGAATGATACAGATTTTTTTTTCCATTGTCTTTAGTGGTACACAATAATACATCAAACAGACACAGCATCAACTCTGTAACATTGAGAAATGTGATTTGTACGCTAAAATTGCTACATGCCATCATAAGTGGATGCTATAAATTAAATGATATTATCACGGGAAGAAGAAAGAAGGCAAGTATGTCAAGACTATAACACCAGAACTCACTGGTATTGATCTCATCCACTTAGTTTGAAGAAGAGAGCGGTCCAATCTCACACAGAGACACTCACACACACATACTTCTCGAGCATCAAATTTTAGTGCTCTGTATTGAATTATTATAATTTTCTACTCAACTTTTAAAAGTGTCGCTCTAATTGGACTGACAGAGGCAGTCTAGAATTCAGACATTCTAAATGTTGTTTATATTTTCAACTGCTTGCCCTGTGCACAAAAGCATTCTGAAACGTATGGGAAGAATGCTAATCCATCTGTCTGACTATTGTGAACGAGTTGCAAGGCAAACATTTTGTACTATAACAGTTACATGCATACTCTGAGCACCGTTTTCTGATCACCTTTCTTGCTTTGTCGTGAACTGACCTCTTTCTAAAACATGCCCAGCCCTTCGAAAACGGAACATTTTGGACGAACACACCTCATAAGAACAGAAAATGAATAAACAAGACAATTGTACCCCTGTTTCATCTCGTCATTTCCTGAAAACCTAAGGTAAATGCGAACAAACTCAATGATGGTGTTCGGAAACCCCAGCTCTTGGCATTGTGGTGTTTTTAAATTATAACTACAAAAGACAAGTCTAGTTCTCACTGATCACAAGGTTATAGATCTAGATCCAACCATGATTTCAAAACTTGTCATTAATTTTATTTTTGAGTAGATCTAATGTTGTTTCCTCAGCACCAGATTCAAGATATAGATCTAGATGTGTAGATCTGCGGCCTATATCTAGATCTAGGTCTAAGTCAAGTCATTCAAGACCGTAATGGTTTAGTCTTCCCATTCACATCTAAGATACACTTTGTACCTAACATCAAAACTGCCCAAAGGGTTCTCTAAAGGTTCAGGTGTAATGAAGCTTGGCACAGTTTCCCGACTGAGATCTGGATCGAGTGACGTGGTTGTCCTCTCCGACTCCAGCTGACCTCCTTCTTCTGACTCCTCGTCAGAGATCCATGTCTCTGGATTGCCATCAGTTTCACCCGAAACAGTGAAATAATCTGTTATTACTGAGGTCAGATCATATGGGTTGACAACACCACTTAGTCCCAAAGAAGATGCACTGTTAAAAAATGCTGCAGTCTCTTGGTCTTTGGGATGGGATTGTTTTTGTTGCGTTGCCATCTTAATGGAAACCCGGAAGTAAGTACACTAATCACAATGATGCTGGATTTAAGTGAATTAAAGACCTAAAACAGTTTAAAAACGTATATCAAACCTCACAGAGCATTGCTCTAATATTTATTAAGTATATAAAACAAAAAAATAGAGTACAACTGCAAAGGTGAGCTCTCAAACAGGATGGCAAGTGACCGCTCTTTGTACGCTTAACACAACACAGAGGGTAAGGGATGCGCAAATAGCACATATGTTTACGAGTGAATGTATTCTCTACGAGTGAATGTTTACGAGTGAATGTATTCTTGCGCACTCTTTCATAATGTAGGGGAGAGAATAAGGTATGATATGACCTTTCAACCCTTTTTTGCATTTAGCTCCAAAGTAGCTGGGCCGACTTTTTGTCCCTTTTCCCAGGCCCACACATATTTTGCTTTTGTTTGTTGAACCGAGCAAGCAATTTTTCACAAACATTTTTTTCCTCTTTTTTCCTGTTGTGTACTTCCGCAGGATAAAAAGTTGTTTGTGCTCATAGACTGTGCTTATCAAGGCTTTGCCAGTGGAGATTTGGATCAGGACGCCTTCGCCTCTCGGTATTTTGCTGACCAGCGCATGGATATGTTTGTTGCTCAATCCTTCTCCAAAAACTTTGGTCTTTACAGTAAGTGAAATGGTTGGATGTTGTCAGATAACATTGAGAGTGTTTTTCCTTTAGTTAATGTTAAAAAGGGTAAACATTTCTTACTGGAGAACCTCTCCAATAGTTATAGGGCGTTTATCAGATTTCTGCTGTTTCTATTGCTCTACTTCATCCCTGGACAAAAGACCATAATTTAGATAAATTTATTTAAATTGTCCATACTACTGACTGATACTTTGTTTCATCTCGGCTATATCTCACCTATATAACCTGTGTCTCTGCTGTGTAACTGTTATGCGCTCCGCAATTGCTTGTAGAAGACATGATTTTGATTTGTGAGGGTAAATTTTTGGCAATTATCTCTGTCTTTCTGCCATGAAGTTGTATCTTTCTCGGCCCAAGATTTACTCTGAAAGTCAGGGTTGAAGCTGCATGCTTTCGAAATGGTCTAAGTATGGTCGATAGGGAAAGAAACATTTAGTCATATATCATCACTTTTGAAAGACTGTAGTAGTATTCTTTCAGCTTTAAGAAATTCGTGTTGACGTTTGATTTTCAAACATAATTATGACAATTCTTGAATTAGTTTCCGTTTACTGTCAATAAATACCAACATTCAGCTCTTTTGGAAAATTACATGACTATTTGTGTTGTGTGGATAGCAAAAATTTGAATCAATTTTTTGATTATCTTGAAAGGTTGTCAGTGTTAACCCGTTCTTTATTCATTCAGTTTAATAGTGCCTATCTATAGCTTAGCTGGTATTGTGCTTAAAACAGTGGTAAAGTTTAACATACCCAGAAAATAATAATAGTAATAATAAATAGCATTTGTATAGCGCATATCCCCGCTCAACAGCAGGCTCTATGCTCTTTATACTGTATTATTACCCCAGCAGACCATAGAACACTCCGAAACATTCTCAGCTTCCCGGGAAGCATATAGTGCAAGCAGCTGGTTAAGCGCTCAAACACTAACAAACTGCCAAGATCTTTCGCTGTGTATAGCCGGGTACCCATTCCCACCTGGGTGAAGTGAGGAAAATCGGGTAAAGTGCCTTTCCCAAGGACACAACGTCGGGCCCCTGATGGGATTCGAACCCACGACCTTACGGTTGCGAGTCCGAGAAAAGCCAATTGCTGTTACACAACATCAACATTTGTTTTATTTCTGTAGTTTTCGTGACCTCTCCACCCACATCGCTTGATCCAATCGGGGATGGACACTAACTTTAGAAGTCCTGTCTGTTTAGTGATTTTACAGTGTTTACGGTAAAACCCAGACCCTACCTCTGATTCATAGCCTGTCCTGTACAGTCAAATCTGCTGTTATGGCTGTCTGTCAAAGACAACCACCTGTACAAACGACCTTTTCCCACCACCCTCGCCCCACTTGCGTTTTTTTCTTCGTTTTATTATGAAACTGTCCAAGATGTCCACCTGTCTACAGACAACCAGACCTCTCCTCGACAATAGGTGGCTATCGTAGACAATTTTAATTGTTTTTCTATATGAGCATCTTCATTTCATCACCACGATTGTGTTCATTTATTTTTATGAGGGTCATTTGATACATCATCATCATCATCCAGTGCCAGGTCTGCGACAGACATCGGCGATCATGATATTCCATTCATTCCTTTGCTCAGATGCTCTCAGAAAAGCTACGTTTCCCTGATCTTTCCCTGTTACCCATTTATTTAGGTTCCCTAAGTATGTTGTTCTGGGCCTACCCCTGCCTCGCTTACCCTCAACTTTGCCAGTGAGAGCTAGATGTTCAAGACCCTTATGTCTATTCGGGTGTCCCAAAAACTGCATTTATCATTTCCTGATTGTTTTTGACATTGAGCGTCCCACGTGGGCTTCATCAAGCGCTACCTCATTTGATACAAAGCTGTAAAATTTCCCCCCCCACCCCCCCCAGATGAGAGGACTGGCAACCTGGTGGTGGTGACAAAAGATGCTTCCAAGCTTCCTGAGATTCGCAGTCAGATGGAGATCCAGATCAGAGTGATTTGGTCAAACCCTCCCAACCACGGTGCTCGAATTGTCGCTACAGTTCTCAACAACAAAGCCTACTATGAGCAATGGTAACTGTTCCTTCTGTTTCAACTTTTTAGGGTGAAGAAAAGTACGTAGCTGCCAAGTAGTACGTAAAAAACGTATTTAGTACGATTTTTGGGTTTGAGTACGGAAATCTGTTTTGGCATCGGAAAATACGTTTTCAACTTTTTCCCCTCTTAGTTTTAAATACAAACTGGCTTCAAGCAAGAAAAATTAGAAAACTTATGACCGGATAGAGGCGAAGTACGGGAGTCAACAAAACGACGAGAGTAGTGTCCCTGCAATTACAACTGAAAGTCGACCTCCTTCCGTGAGTTGTGCCCCTTCTGTACTTCTTTGTTATTAATGTTATTGAGCATGCGCTATTAAAGCGGGAAGTAACCTACGCAGACCTGCCACTCATCCCGATTTAATTTTTTTTGCCCCAAATCTCAAGCATCCCGATTTTCCCGATTTCGAACGGCAGTATCCTGATTTTTTTTGTCGTTGCGTCTGTTGCGTCCGATTCTTAGAAAAAAATATAAAAAGTTCTGCAAAGAGCTTGGAAGCACCGATTGAACTTCTTATCGGCTGGAACTTGGAACGCTATTTTCTAAAGCATCTATGCCGAATCTAGTAGTTGACTCACGCTCGTATTTCAACTAAAGGGAAGATTGAAGAATACCGGACCACTCGTACATTATTGCGCGAGAAAGTGGGGTTGGTGGGGCGGGTGGTTGGAGTGGGGGAGGGGGGGTTTAGGGGGGTCTCCCCCCTGACAAAATTTTAATGAACAGATCTACCGGTCCGAGATTCTCCATTGAGAGATATTAAAAACGGGAAAATTATGAATTCCTAAGGTTGGGACATAGGCAAAGTCAGTCCGCTGGTCCGGTATTCTTCAATCTTACCCAACTAAAATCGACGTAGTATCAATTTTGAATTCCCACTTAAACTTAAATACGCTCAAGATCTACTTTCGCTGACCTCTTACATGTGGTGAGTAGCGCGTGTGTCGGGGACCGTCGGTTGTCGGGGTCAGCAAAGTTCATTCACACCGGTCGCAATGATCGAGGTGTTTTCCGGGACTTAACCAGTG